GACCACAGTACAGTATGGAGACCAAGACCTTTTACGGGAAGAGACGGGGTGCTTCTGCCGCCCCAGCTTCCAAAGAGCGAAGGGTAAGCAAATACAGCAGACTTCATCTGAAATATGCGATTACAGCGAATATTAAAAGGTATTATTGCCGTTTTGAATTTTAAATTCAATTCAATTATAATTATTCAATTCAATTATAATTATTATTATTAGTTTTTCAAGAAAACACCACACGGGTGAAACTATCTTCGAAATCTACCACCAGGACAGTAAAAAAGAAAGCGGTAAGACGGAAAAAAAGAAAAGTTTATTTTGACATCTGTTCTGCGTCTGATGACTACTACTGTGTGACTTTATTTCTTACATGAATTATGTTATTTTGCCACAGGCCTTGGGTCTCTGCTCTCGGCCACTGGCCAGGGTGCCAATCTGTAGAAGCAGCACCTGTGTGGAGATTTTTCGGCAGCAGCGGGAGCAGTACGACGCATTACTGGGGAGGATTGGGAGGCTAGAGACACTCCTGAAAATGCAGAGGAAGGAGACAGTATGTTCCAGCAGTCAAACAGTTGAGAAGCTGTCTCCCAAAAAGTGCCTCTCCCCGCCGCGCAGGTTGCAATGCCTGGCTGAAGCTCTGCCCCCCGCAGATCACACACCGCCTCTGGACACTCCATCCCGGCCTCTCCGCTCACCACCACGCAGGAATTTGTTGATGCTGTCCCCGCAGTCTATCTCCCCCCAGGAAGCACCGTTTACAGAGCGCAATTCACAGACGCCAGTGGGACAAATAAATCTCCCAGATATCCAACTGTTACCGATCACTCAGGAGATGGAGGGGGGGTTGTACTTGCAGTGCATCGGCATAGACGGGAAAGCAAGAGCCGACCACTACGCCGCCCTCATGTTTCGAAATCTTGTGACTTTTGACTGGGGATGGACCACGTCTGTAAATTTCGATGGGTCCAGAGGCAAAAGTGCCTTGCCTTGCAATCTCCGAGAAACCATTAGTAGCATGGTAAATCGGAGATTCTCAACCCTTATTTCGTTCGACTGGAAAATAATTTGTGATCGGATCAACGAATTGCTTCATAGAAGGAGGCGCTCTTTTCCTCTAGTCTAACAGTCTGTCCACAAACAAAACATTCCTGTTAGACAAGAGGAATTGAAAAAAAAAACAATTACTTTTCTCAGTGGAAACCGATGTGTGTGTCTTTCTCTGCTGGATGTCCCTCTCACTCTCTGCTGAATGAATAGAAGCATTTTATTAAAAACGCGTTTGCGTTTGTCTGGTATTAACTTGGTCCCTTTTAACTGTTTTTCCATCTACTGTATTGCTTTGAGATGCCACTTTTAAAGGTGATTTGTAAAAAAAAGATTTTTATTATTGTTATAGAGAAACATGATCAGATTTTCCCTGGTTCAGAAAAAAAGATCTAAAGTGCTACATCTAACTTTCTTAATTCAATGTATTTAAAGCAGTGAACTACTGTAGGTGTAACATAACATTCAGAAATACAAATGAGAATAGTTTTGTGGTGTTTGTTTGGATGAAACATTCCTAAAACATATAACGTAACAAAATTAAAGACG